GTCATTTATTTGTACAGATATCTATCTGTCAGATCTTTTTTTGTCTATGAACCATACTTTTGCAAAAAGAAAAACTTAAAAGCTCAGTCTGACACAAAGGCTGCTTAATTAGGATACCGGCCTGCGAGACTAGTAAGACTCTCAAGGTCCTGGACCAATGTGTGATATCGGAGAAGGTCAAAGAGAATGGTCGTTGTATCACTTTCTATAAGAAGATTACAAACTATGCAATGCAACAAACCATATTGAGAACTGCAACGCAGAAATTCTTCCTTAAATGAAGGATTCTCCGAGTTACATTTGATTCGAAGGGAAAGAGTATATAATTCTTCGTGATACAAGCATGGTAACTAAAGGAATTTATCTCTTGTAACCAAGGTTTTTTTTTTTTTTTTTTTTTTTTTTTTTTGCTAGCTGCTGCTGTTGTTGTTAAGATGCATGGCATTATAAGAAAGCAATTGAATGCTCAAAATTTCAAGGTCATAACTTTATACATGTACTTTGAAATAGTATAATTTATAAAAAAAAAATAATAATAATTGTCAACTACAATTACCGAGGTGGGGGATAAGGGAATATCTAATGTAAATTGTCTTTTCTGAATTTTAATCGTTAGAGTGTTGGACTTTGGTGCTATTTTAAGTGAAATGTGCATTATCACTTTCTGTGACAACCTACATAGTTATAAAATTAAAGACAAAAATAACTTTTTCGGAATTTCAGTGGATGAAAATAGCTATCGAAGGGGTATATGACTACCATATAATGTTGATTAGTAATAAACATGTTGTACTGTATTTTCTATGATACTAATAATAGACTAAAAGACGGTGTAGCCTTGGTAAAAATTGTGAAGAAAGCGCACGATTTAAGTAATGTTAAGACTCCCTACCTCACCATTCTGAGATCAACGTGCTCTTTCTATATGCTTATACCATTATTTTCTAATCCTAAAATATGTAAATTTGAAAAAGGGATACAATGTATAATTCAAAATTCCTCAGACCCAAGAAAAGTTCAGTTAATTTTTTTTTAGGAAAAACAATAAAGAAACAAACAAAAAGAATACTTTTAATTTCTACAGCAACATTTAACAAATTTTGAATTGGTCGTTGTAGCCTAGTTATAGCGCGTTTTCTTCGTGATAAGATTAGATCCTGAAATCCGAGGTTCCGTATGTCACAGTAGGCGCTGTCACGATAGAGCCGTGTTGCAACCGCTAATGATAAAACGCCTCGTAATGATAGAAATATCATTAAGCGTTGCAATTGCGACGCTTAATGCCATAAATTGTTACATTAATAGTTGACTTTCTCAACCGTTAATGATAAATCGCTGCTTAATGAGAGAATTATATCATTAAGCGGTTTAAACGTTGCATTGCAACGCTTAATGATATTAATTTCTATCATTAAGCGGCGTTTTATCATTAGCGGTAAGCCGTAAGTTAAACTTTGTGGCACTTCACTTGAAGCAGGTGACGTCTCCATATATGAGTGAAAAATTCTCGAATGGAACGTTAAACAACACACAATCAATTAATCATCATTCGTTCGCTCCATATTTTCCTTATCTTACACTGTGAGATTGTCTAATTCGTACAATACGGCCCTAACGACCCTATGCTTTCTGAATTCACTATTACCCAATTAAACGATGGTTCACCGTGTCAGCTTGTATTGATATAAAGATTACCTCTGTGTATCCCCTCCGTGGATGTAATCAATAACCTTTGATTAGCTTTGTAGAGTAACTAGAAAAAAGATACCATCTTTCACATCACACGAACAGCGGAAAGTAATAGATGGTTTGCAATTGGCTAATTTGATAATAAAATAACACTATAGTGACTATACCCTCTTATAAATTTATTTCTAGATCTAGTGAACTTTTACGGATATGTCATTCCTAAATATCCTTTTTTATGAGAGACATATTATGATTTTTAAAGATCAGGAATAATCTAATAATGACGAAATTTGAAATAGATCCAAAATATAGATTATTATACATAACTCACCAGCCATTAAGAGGGCTGGTTGGTTGTGGCCATTTTCAGACTATATTGATCTCCTTTAGCAGAAGAGCTCCAAATAAAGATACACAAAATGATCAAATTCTAAAACTAAAATGTATGAAATTATTGTTTGCCAAATGATAGTTGACAGCTAAAGATATCATATCTAAAAAATTAAGTTATATCTGATGGTTAATTTGTTGACCCCTAGCCTCCTTAAAGTAAATTATTTGGACAAAGTTTATGAACAGATGATCATACACACGGTATCGGCTGAGGACTTGTCATTTGTCATTTATTTTTCTTCTACTCCTTACGATTATTGACCGCTTAGGGTTAGTTAACCGGGCGTGGTCAGTAAAATACGGTTCCAAATAAAATTTCGTAGTAGCAGCATACATGTATGTAATATCAAGTTTTCCAAATGTCTATAGTATTCCTCTACCACACGTGGCCAGCACTTGATTTTTCAGTAACCTGCCATAACACCCAAAAGTGAGTAGGGTTGCCTAACAATAATGAAAAGGTTACCCCGCCTAGTCCACTTACTTCCGGTTCTTTATCATTCTATCAGCATATGCTAAGATAAAATAAAAATGTTGGGGACGGGGGCATACAAATTGATAGAAAGTAATTGCATGTAGGTCTATATCAGGTGTATGATATTCCCTTTCCAATCTTTTTTTTAACAAGTTTTAAGGAAGCTCTAAACACTGCTCATTAGAGAGTTCTAATTCCATGGTATTTTTATGCAGTTATTTGCCCTTTGAAGTAAGATTGAATAAATGAGAATCTACAGTAAATGACATAATTTGAAATAAACTGAAATATTCCTATCAACATGTTAGACCATGATAAATTAATTGAATACTTTATTTGTATATATTTCTGTAACTAAATGCTTCAATGTCTGAAAACATTTTTCTGGAGAAATATGGCTGGTACCTTATGTTGAAAATTAACTACATAAACTCAATATACACAACATGACATAATACAATTTTGTCAAAGCCCCAAAAAACGTTTTTTTTTTCTTAGTGTTTAGAGCTTCCTTGAGGACACACATTTTTTTTTTGGTCGCTCATAACATTGCCCTTTACCAGCAAACAACCGTCTGGACGTTATATGTTCTATATCTGTAATCCAATACATAGGACAAGACATGTCAATTAAAGAGTAGTGTTTTAGACTATCGAGTTTGTAAAAAACTCTGAAATTTAGAAGTGTTTTGTCTGGCTGGTTATAATCAGAGATAAGAGGCATGAGATGCTGGTAATGATGATAATGATGATATTGTTGCTTTTATAGATCCGTCCAGGGTTCAGGAAAAAGGATAAGGCAATTGCACTCAATTACTAAAATTAAAGAATGTAAATTGACAGTTGGTCGAAATATGACCAAATGGTTTACTCTGAAACTTTGACATGAGCTCTTTATAGAAAACAATGAAATCCAGGGAGTTTAAAATCAAAAGCATTTCTTGTTTTAATTGAATACGTCATACCCCGAGATCAAAAATTTGCAATTGCTTACTGTAGCTGATTACCGTCTTCCTTGGATGGAAGTATACAGAATAGAAGTATTTTACAATCTTCGGACTTTGCACTTCTCTCCTCTGTGATTGAACCGGTCACGATAGCCTGTCCCTAGTGGTAGGGCGCTTGATCGGGAGGCCCGGGTTTGATTCTCGTTCTCCGCGCCGCTTTCTCCGTGGTGACTGTTCCTTCGTCAAGCACTAGAAGTGAAAGTCACGGGTCTTTCGGATGGGACCTTAAAAACCGAGGTCACGGTAGGCGTTGGCACGATAGAGAACCCTCACTGCTCAATGGCCCAGAGTACCCAATATATATAGATCTAAATTTGAAGCCCTTCACCGGCATACGGTGACGTCTCTGTAAGAGTGAAAAATTAACGAATGGGACGTACGTTAAACAACATACATTCAATCAATCAATCTTCAGTGATTGGTAGAAAATGCACGATGTGAAGATTTTTAATTATTTCTGTTCAAGGCAGGGGAAATAATTTTCTTCGTCTGTTCGTTTTGTCGAATTTGTTTAAAAATCGGAAATCTTCAAAGGGGGGGGGGGAGGGGAGGGGAGTTAAATCGTTCGAAAATTGGATTAATAGAAAATTATCTCCCTTGCCTGAAACAGGATATCAACCAATGAAATAATTGAACTTTTTCACTCCATTCAATTTCAATCAATTACAAAAGAGAGAAAGCATATAATCAGAAGACTGTAAAATACTTCAACTCTGTACACCGTCACTGTATACCGTCTTGGAAGGAAGACGGTAATAATCTAGAGCCAAGATCGAAGAAGGGGTCGGTCTTTTGTTTTTCATTCACTCACAGTATCTTTTTTTTTATTGCATAAATTCGATCTTGCCTTTTAATTAAAATTCCAATTTAGATACAATAACAATGGAATGATTTTTAAAGATAAAGCACATAAATGGGGTGGGGGTTGACAAGTATTATTGTATTATTGTATTTCACATTTCTCCATGCAGGCTAACACATTTCCTAACCAAGGGTTCAGATCTGCTCTTCTAGGGTAAAAGAGGGGAGAAGTATATGTAGATCGGACATATTGGCTAAAGAAGATGGCAGGAGGATAATCCCGACAAAAAAAGTCAAAAAAGTGATGCTCATGTTTTTTTTTTTTTTTTTTTGTTTTTTAAGTTTCGGGTGGAATATTTTCTTCCGGATTTTTTTTTTCATGATAGAAACTTCCGACTCCTGTGCTCAGAAAGATTCCTGTATTATACACTATCGTTGAAGTTACACACCATTAATGATGTTTTTTTTTTCTGTTCAGTCTTATTCAAACATCAACAAAGAACGTGTTATGGGCTAAACATTTTAATTATTTTATCTTTTTCCATAAGTCTTATGGTCGAAAAACACGTTATTGAGCGTGTCCAAACAGCTGTTGCATGGGTCGCTCAATATGCAGTGTAACGTGGCAGGCAACATCCAGTGATCTGGTCCTCAAATCTTACACATAAATCATTGATTGTACATTAAAGAAAATGATTGAGAACCAGTTAATACATCATGGGAACTTATGCACACCTCGGGAGTGTTTCTCTGGTTTTCTTGTTCATAATTTGCGCAATAATTTCCAACAGGAGTGCTAGCGGAGCATCGTTGATATTCGAATTGCCTGACAAAGAAAACTATTGTTTTTCTGAGGACTTTGATGGAGTAACGGTAGGAAAACGGTTTAAATTTCAATATAAAGTTATACGAGGAGGAAATAATGACGTGGATGTTAAAGTTATCTCCCCTAATGGATTAGTTTTGTTCCGAGAATCTAAGAATCATGAGGGGGAATTCATCTTTGACGCGTCAAGAGGAGAATTCAGATTCTGCTTTGGAAACGAGTTTTCAACTTTTACTCATAAAATTGTGTACTTTGAGTTGAGAAACCTGGAGATTTCTAACCTTGCTGTAGAAGCTGGAGACAAAATCCCCACCGTGAAAACTTCGGCTGAAGCTTCTTGTGACGTCATTCACGAGCGGATGTCGTCTGTAGTCAACTATCAACGAGACTATCGTTTGAAGGAAGCCATGGGGCGCCATGTAGCAGAAAATATTAATAAAGGCATCACGTGGTGGTCTGTGGGACAAACGTTTTTCATATTACTAGCCGGCGTGGGGCAAGTTCTCCTGCTCAAGACTTTCTTTACAGAAAAATCACCAATAAAACAAGACGCTTAATCACAAACAGACGTACTTATGTAATGACTACTTAAATTGATTTCAAATTTTTATACTACATCAGTACATCATTATTGCTTAATTATCATGATAATTCAATTAAATCAATGTCTTATTGTGATTTGATTTATATATTATATAACTGAGATAGTGTGATATTTTACATTCTATGTCACACTTGATACTTTATACCAATAGCATTTCTATTGCATATATTACTTGAGGTATGTTTTTTTTTAAATCCTATAACATTTGATATAAATAAATATGCTGACGATAATGAAGAGGAATTTCATTCCGGGGATAGGAGGGGGGTGGGAGTCTGGCAGATTTTGGATATAAATAAAATCAATGTTGAAAATAAATAATCTGACCTTCACTGACACTGTATTATTAACTCCTGCCCCAACTCCCTCCATGAAATATAGAGTTGTTGAGTTTGGACATTTTAACTTTTTATGCTTGTCAAATTTTGTTCAAGTGAAGAAGAAAAAATATCTGTCCTTGATCATCTTGAAAATAAATAATCTGATCCCAACAAATTTTGCACCCCCCTCTTCCCCATTTCAGAATCAAATGGTCGTCCCCTAGTGAAGTGTTTATAGAATAGTGCAAAATTTGAAATGCTAGCTATATTCCTCAGTTATTTGTCGGCACTGTACGGTGTGTGATTCTTATCACCCCTCACCTTAACCCCCCCTCCCCCCCCAAAAAAAGATGTGTGATTCTTATCACCCCTCACCTTAACCCCCCCCCCCCCCAAAAAAAAAAAAAAAAGATGGATATGCTATCAAGTGGATATATTCATTATAATGGTCTTTTATATTTAAGGACAGATGATATATATATAATAAACAAAATTTTATCAAAAATCTTGAAAATAACAACTTAAGTTATGTTTACATAAGTAAAATGAATAAGTTTAACAGCATAGATTTTTATTTTTTCATACAAACTTTCACAATAATGTGATTAAAAGTGACAAAATGTTTTCAGATTAATAAGGATGGTTGCAGAAAGGTGAATTCTGGAACATAGTAAAAAGTTTACAATTTTGTAATATTTTACAGATTTATTATCCGCATCATTTACAACGAAAAAGGTCCAAAAAGATATACCAATCCAGGAGTCCATTTCTTCTGTTTGTATCATCTGCCCTTAAGATGAAAAATGTAATAAAATTTGATGACCTTGCCATCTGAATTGGTAAAAACTGTAAACTGTCCGTTCTTACAGAGTAAACTATCAATAGATGTGTGGTCACTATTGCCAGAATTATGTCACTAAGCCATTCTTTACAAAAATGAAAATTAACTCGTCAGATTATATTTAAAGTACCTCAAATAGTTCAATTTCGGCTGTTTTAATTCTTTTTAAGAATGGATATTTAAATGTAATCCCTTCATTGAGTAGAAAATAAAGTCTAAGATTGAAAACATTAACTTTTAAGTAAATAATGAGCAAATATTACAATACTGAACTGTTCTTTACTCAGGAACATTTGGAAAAGGAGTGGGGGGGGGGGGGGGGGGAGGTTCGACGAATTTTACCTCAATGTTAAATCTGATATAAAGTATATAAAACACTTGAGTTTTTGAAGTTTTAATCAAGGGGAAATAACAGGTACATTGATCTACATGTAGCAATAAACAAAAAAAAAACACAACAATTTGCACTTCAAACAACAACATGTATGTATAATTATAATACTTATGATATAACTAACACTTCAACATATTGACCAATTCGTTGTCTGCCTTCTCTCTACTCTCTAATCTACTTTATATATAATCCCTACCTAAACAAATTCCACTGCAAAATCTGAGCAAATAACAAATATAGATTAAAATCTACAAAGATAAAAAGGTATAAAATATATTTTAAAAAGTAAAAACACACAAAATGACAACATAAAGCACCATGAGACAATTATGTGCACTGAATGAATGTGTTCCACAAATGTACAAATTCTAAATTATTAAATTTAATTAATACTGATCAAATATATATCATAACTTTAATTAAAGTGTCCCACTCTCCTGTTAAGTGTTTCACTAAAATATGTCAATATCACATATTATGCTTAAATGGCATACACAAAATAAAAACTTACATCAAGAAGAAATAGGGAATGACAAACTGTTTTGGTTTTAATACTGGTAATCACTCATTGACAGGAATTCCTGGGGCTAAGACAGGAAAGATAACTCTTCTGTGATCAGTGTAACTTGAATAGCTTGTTGGTGGTGTGCATATCATCAACATACCTACAATAGAATATTGGTAATTAATGGCTTTCTTACAATATATAGTTGAAAACCGGACTGGACTGGAGTTCTTTTTTTTCCTCTTTGAGTTCTGGTAACAAATTTAATGCTGCATTAGTCTATAGTTGTAGCTTGATCACAGGTTAATTTAGCTTTCTTGATTACATTTAAGTTTTTACAGAATTCTTTTAATTGATGAATACAAAAGATTTTTCAAATTTGAATATTTTTTTATCATTTTTTTTTTTTTTTTTTTTTTTTTTTTTTTTTTTTTTTTTATAATTTGGTAAAAACAGTATTAAGTAATACAGTCACCAATGTTTGAAAAAATTTGCTCAAAGTATGAAAAAAAATATTCTCTTTATTTCTTGAAAACAAATACATTATTAATCAATACATTTTCACAAAAAGACTAAAACTGAGAGGCTATGAAATAATCTCCCATCCAACTTGTATAATGTATGGTCATTTGCAGGATATTCAACAAGAAGGATAACTCTTAAGAGTTAAACATGCAGATCTGTTATTGATCAGGGCTTGCCTACCATCTATCTCTGTACACAGGAGTCTGAAGATTTTATTGTAACAAAAAAAATTCCAAGAAAAAAATATTCCACCCTCTATTCAAAAATACTCCACCCTCTACTAAAAAAAAAATCCACCGTCTACTTAAAAAAGTTTTAGTAGAGGGTACGTGGAATAATTTTTTCGAGTTTTCTTTTTCTTTTCAATGAAAAATTCAGGCTCCTGGCAGTGTGTTCTGTAATGTCAAGTGTGATCTACATTGTATCTGTTAACTTTTTCTGAATCTGATAGAAAAACCAGACACTGAAGCTTACTGAACAAAAACAGTTCAGAAATTTTTCTGATGTTTTATGTTAGCTGAGATAAGTGTTGTACTTTGGTATAATGTGAATGTAGGTCAGTGTGTACTCATAGTATGTAAGTTTACTATTTCCTGAACTATGTCAGAGGGGGGTCCCTTTATTGTGATTGATGCAGGGCTGAGATAGAAAAGATGTGCCAAGACTTCAATATGAAAAAGCTAAATTATGACTCAGTGTCATATTTTTGGTTCATAAACTTTACATTTTATAATTGTCAAAATTAATTTTTTACTCAAGTATGTTAATAGTTTTCTATACCCACTAACTAATAATTAACTAGACTTGTGATTTTCTTTTTACAACAAGCCGGATACAATAAAATCATTAATGTCATATTTCTATTATAATAATATTCCTTTTTCTGTGCCACCCCAACACACTCTGTCAGATTCTAACACTAATCCAAATACATACATGTGACAGAACTGGAAAATCACAACTGGAGATTTGAAAATTTTCAGCTGGAGTTTGGGTCTCAAAGCTGGAGATTTTTTATCGACATTTTTTCAAATCGCAAAAGACCATCCAACCCCCAAAATTCAGGAAAAAAATACCTTCTCCCAGTTTATTACTTTACAAATTTTATTTTATAAAGTTGTTGTCTATAGTTTTAAGAAAAATATGATAAAGTTTTTATTCAAATGACGTGAAACTGAGTATTCAAAATGAAATCAACTCATTTCCTAGTAAATTAATTAAGAGTTAACAGTATCATTAAAACATTGGATAAAATTTTATTTTTGATTTAGTATTGATATATCAACTAGTAAGTGAAGTAAAACATAGCTAGGTTTTATGTAACAAATTCTATGTCAGTAATTTGTTTTTAAATAGAATATGTACAGATGAAAAAAAGTACCCTCTAAAAAAATAAACAAATTAGAGTCAGGTATATTTTAGCAACACCCTGTAGTGTGATCTATTTTTAACTAGAGTGTGACCTACATTATAACTATCTTTTAATGACCAAAGCAGCATTAGAAGATGGCAACTGGGTATTTTAGCAACTAATTACAATGTTTTGCATTCAGTAATAAACATCAATGGTCTTTGATCAAGTTGATATATCACTAATTTTTACAACATAATTATACGACCTCATGTTGATTCATACGAAGCCTACCGCTGTGAAAATTTATTGCACTGGCGTTGTTATCTCAATTTCTTTTCATTCTGAGCAATTATATGAAACACGATCAAAAAAATATTGCAAATAATATTTAATTTGAAGAATTTTAAAACACGGAAGATTTAAAAATTAATCGGGAGGGGCGGAAGGGGGGTGAAATATCGGGAGATTTTGTCTCCCGCCGGAAGAATCACATGTATGCAAATACAGCTTAGTGTTCAGAAAATATATTAAATTATTGATAAAAAGTTTCATTTAAGTGCTACCTACTGAAAAATTCACAGATGACAGATCTGAAGATATTTAAGCAAGTTTCATACAATCAATAATCTACTATTGGTTATTTCATGTGAAGATGTGTGTCAGGTATTTAAACCGATTGTCGGTATATAAACACCCTTTTTAACTTAAATGTCTTATTTCATCTTTTATAATGAAAAAGATCTATATAATGTCTGTGTGAATGAACAAACAGTTAAGAGGATTTGTATAACAGGTTAACAAATTCAGACACAAAAGACTGACAGCATTTATAACATGTTATAAAGGTGTGTGAACACAGTCATCATTGTTTGACAGATAAAGAGATGGTTTAGCCATTCACACTACATATATTATTTATTTTGTGTGTGGAGGTAGGGTTGAATATTTTAATCATAATTTTGTTGGTCTAATGTATGTAAACTTACCTTCCCATCGGGCTGTTAATAATGGGAAATCTTTTAGGGGGTCGGTCAGCATACGCTATCGGCATTTCACTCCCCGTGCCCCAGTTTTGTGGTTCAAAGGCCACCAGGTATCCCCTGGAGGGAAGCATCTGTCTAAGAGTGGAATACTCCTCACACCGTGTGCTAGGATGAGACTTAAATATAGCGTTCCCTGGACCACGATCAAAAGTTCTCAGGGGCGGATCTGTGACGGGAATCCAGTGGTGCTCTGCGGACGGAAGTTGTTTTGGCGCCAGAAGCTTGTGTCGTGGAACGGGCGCCGTGGACCTGAGGTCTGTGGGGATGTAGCGTTTGGTGACCCAGACAGTTTCTGTTGGCTGGTTTCTCGCGAGCGCTGCCTCTCTTTCCTGTAGATACTTACTGTAAGCGTGTTTGTAGGCGCCAAAGGCGCCCATACTGAGGGCCGTCATCTCAAAGCGTCGTGTTACCAAGCCTGTTGTCAACAAGATCAATGTTAATCCGATTTACGCACACGCTTTTAAAAAACTAAAATTTACATCGATAACAGTATAAACATTCCGGATTATTTTTTATGCATTTAGGCCTACACTTTTACTACCTACGTGTACAGTGTAGGATCTTTGATAAATTGTCAAAAACTTGAAAATTATGTATGTGTATTGGGGGGGGGGGGTCAACGTTTTCCACAAACAAATTTTATAAGACATTATCAGGTATGGGGGCGATTTGACTGTACTGCAACAAAAATTGTGTGTGTTTGGGAGGGGGGGGGGGTGGGGGGGTAATGAAAAAAATAAAGTTCAAAGTTCAAATAAATTTCTTGAAAATGTTGTACAGATGCAATAGAAATGATGAGTAGATGTAAATCAAAAATGTATGAACTGAAAATTGAATTTTATTTAAAAATAAGAAAGCCTTCATTCGAGTATTGAATACATTGTAATTTAAAAGTCTTTGAAACATGGATTTCTCATCTAAATATCAAGTCCAATTTAATACTATCCTGTGCTTCTTTGCTATCTCTTTCTCCTCTCTATATACATGCATGCATGAAATTACCTATTTCGGATCATCTTCCAGCAGGTCTCAAGAGTTTTTGCCTTTAAATTTTGATGGGGGTTAAATTATTATCTGTTAATTGTCAAGGTTTAGGCGATATCGCAAAGCGAAGAGATGTTTTAACTACTTACGAAGTCTAAATTATAATATTTATTGTCTTCAAGACACACATTTCTCCAATGATGTAGAAAATGAGGTCAGAAACATGTGGGGATATCAATGTTATTTTAGTTCCTATACTTCGAACTCAAGAGGGGTGGCAATACTTTTCAATAATAATTTTGATTTTAAAATATGCCGGGAAAAGGGTGATAAAGATGGAAACTATCACATTCTAAAAATATGTATAGAGGGTCATGAGGTTGTTTTATGCACAGTATATGGCCCAAATACTGATACACCAAATTTTTATGAAAATATTCAACAATCCATTGAAGAAATAAACTGTAACAGTATCATATGGTGTGGAGATTTTAATTTAGTGTTAAATCCACAGTTGGACTGCTATAATTATAAATCAATTAATAACCCAAAGGCTATAGAGAAAAAGTATTAGAAATAATGGAAGGATATGGTTATGTAGATCCCTTTAGACAACTCCATGAAACACTTCGAAGGTACACATGGAGAAAAAAAAATTCTTTTAAACAAAGTAGGTTAGACTTCTTTATAATGTCTGAGTCATTGTTACCTTGTCTTAATGCATGCACAGTCGAACCAAGTTACAGGTCCGATCATTCTATGATATCAATGACTTTAACTTTCAATGATTTTAAAAAGGGAAGGGGCTTATGGAAATTTAACAATTCTTTACTTGGTGATAAGCAATACCTAGATTGTATAAGAGATGTTATTTTAAATGTGAAAAAGCAATATGCACTTCCTGTGTATGACCTTGATAATCTTGATATTATTCTAGATGAAAATTTATATTTTACCATTGATGATCAGTTATTTCTAGAAACTCTACTTATGGAAATAAGAGGGAAAAGTATTTCATACTCTGCAAAAGAAACAAGTCAATGAAGAAAAAGAATTATTAGAAGAAATTAAGGTTTAGAAGAAAATATTTCTGAGCACAATGTAGAGGAACTAAATGGAAAAAAGCAAAAATTGGAAAAACTTAGAAAATATAAACTTCAAGGAATGTATATAAGAAGTAGAGCAAAATGGGTGGAAGAAGGGGAAAAACCATCTCATTATTTTTGTGGTTTAGAATCAAGAAATTTTACCAGTAAAAAATTCCCAAACTTGTTAAAGACAATGGGCAGTTAACTCAAGACCAGTTTGAAATTTTGGATGAAACAAAGCAATTTTATGAAAACTTATACTCTACAACTAACAATGAGTTAAATGAATATGACCTAAATTCTGAGCTAAATTTCAAAGATATTCCCAAGTTATCTTTAGATGAACGTGTGTCTTTAGAAGGTAAAATTACATTACAGGAAGCTTCTAAAACACTTAGCAAAATGAAGGCAAATAAATCACCTGGTTCTGACGGCTTCTCAACAGAATTTTTTAAGGTCTTTGGCGATATCTTGGAATTTTTGTTATCAGGTCAATTAATTATCCTTATGAAAATGATAGTCTGTCAATCACACAGAGACATGGAATTATTACCCTTTTACCTAAAGGAGAAAAACCAAGACAATATATTAAAAACTGGCGCCCAATTACACTTTTAAATACTGTATATAAAATAGCCTCTGGTACCATTGCAAATAGATTAAAGACTTATTTGGATAAACTTATCAATCCTGATCAAACTGGTTTTATTTCGAACAGGTATATAGGGAAAAACACTCGGCTAATTTATGATATAATGCAGTATACTGAAGAGGAAGAAATTCCTGGTCTTCTACTACTTATTGATTTTGAAAAAGCCTTTGATACTGTTTCATGGAATTTTATACAAAAGACATTAACCTATTTTAAATTTGGACCTGACATTCACAAATGGGTAAAATAATTTTTATCATAACATTACTTCAGCTATTAATCAAGGTGGCAATCTCTCAGCATCCTTCAATATCCATAGAGGCTGTAGACAAGGCGATCCCTTATCACCGTATATTTTTCTACTTTGTGCAGAAATTCTAGCTATACAAATAAGAGAAAATAAAAGGATTAAAGGAATTACTGTATGTAATAATGAAAAGAAAATTACACAACTAGCTGATGATACCTCAATTATCCTTGAGGGTAGCAAGGAATCACTTTCAGAAACAATTAAAGTATTACAACATTTCTCTGAAATGTCTGGACTAAGAGTTAATTTTTCGAAAACTAATACCATATGGATTGGATCAAAAAAATATAGTCAAGATATCCTTTCTAGAGATTTTAATCTGAAGTGGGGGACTAACAAATTCACATTACTTGGAATTAATTTTGATGTAGAACTTCAAAATATGTCCAAACTGAATTATCAGCCGAAGTTAAGTAGAATAAAATCAATCTTGCATCAATGGGAGAAAAGACACTTAACACCAATAGGAAAAATTACTGTTATCAAAACTTTGGTTTTGCCTCTCTTAAATCATATTTTTATGGCGATTCCAAATCCAGATGACAACTTTTATAAAGAATTGGATAAAGTGTTCTTTTCCTTCTTGTGGAACCACTCTCAACATAGAATAAAAAGGATGTAATTGTTAAAAAATATGAAGATGGAGGATTAAAGATGATAAATGTAAAGGCTTTTATATCTTCTTTAAAATTATTTTGGATGAGAAAACTCTTATTGTCATATAGAGGTCTGCGTGATTTTATACCAAATCTAGATCTAAATAAAGTTACAACGTGCGGAATTGAATATATCAAAAATATAAAGAAATCACTGAAAAACAAATTCTGGGTTGATGTATTTGATTCATGGATTGAGCTACATCATAAACAAAACCCAACTATAGTAACAGCAAACACTCCACTATTCTACAATCCCGACATTCTTGTGGGAGGAAAAATATTTTTTAATAAATCCATGTATCGCTCTAATATTAGATACCTTAATGATCTTATTAATGAAGAAGGTTTGTTCCTGACTTATGAATCTGTTTGTGATATTTATCCTCAAGTGAAAATTAATTTTTTAGAATATATGAGTGTTATAAGTGCTCTTAAGGCATGGATGAAAAAAGTTAATTTTAAAGAAAATGTTACTAAATCACAAAACCCTCTGGTTATGTCAAATATACACATCCTTCTAGAATGCAAAAAATCAAGGCAATTTTATAATCTTCTCAATCACAATAGTACAGAACCTACTGGTAAAAGAAAGTGGAATGAAACATTTGAATTGAACGACAAAGAATGGAAAATGATTTTTAAATTGCCTTTTAAAGTTACAAATAATTGTAAATTGCAATGGTTTCAGTATCGAATTTTGAACAGAATTTTAGCTTCAAACTCATATTTATTTAAAATAAAAATCACAGAATATAAGAATTGTACATTCTGTCAGGTGGAAGAAGAGACAATTGAACATTTGCTTTGGGAGTGTGATAGTGTACAACATTTTTTAAGAGAATTTGAAGATTACTTTGAAAATAAAACTAATCTTCAAATACCAATAACAAAAAATAATTTTATTTTGGGGTTCTTGGATGAAAAGAAAAAGATACCAAATAATCTTTTTCTATGGCTTAAATATTATATCTACACAATGAGGTGCACAGGGAAGACACTTAATGTAACTGCTGCAATATCGCTTATGAATACATTTTATTAAACACAAAAATATATTGCTTATAATAAAGGTGAAAAGGATATGTTTGACACCTGCTGGAACTGTTGGAATCAATTATTTCAATGACTCTGACAAATATACATGTGTTTATATTTTATGAATGCATGTTTGCAACCCTTTTTCTCTCCTCCTCCAACTCTCTCTCTCTCTCTCTCTCTCTCTCTCTCTCTCTCTCTGAAATAAAAAAATACACATTCTGTATAATCTTTTAAATATATGTTTAACTTGTATGAAATAGCAGAATGTGTAAAACAAAAATAAAGAATTATATAAAAAAAAAAAAAAAAAAAAAAAAAAAGTCCAATTTAATGTGATAAAATTGTGTACAGCTAGCAAAAAATCATATAACTATCTTTATTTTCATTAAAATATATTTTTTCTGTTACACTGGGAAAAACCTGCTGTCACATACTGTCACTTTTTCTGACGATATGCGATCTGCAATTGCTTGTACGCCAACCGACATATTTTGGCACCGCACCCAACCATTCCTTGCTCGTAGTTTGGCAGTATACTGTAGACATTTGGTCAATAGCATTAAATGTGCCATTAAACCACTTTCTTTTCGTTAGGTTTAGTTTTTGCTTCCAGGGAAAGGAATATTTTTTTTTGTCTAAGCTGAATACCAAACGGTCTGCGAGGAGCTGCCATTCTTCTTCAGTTCTTCGCCAGTAATGTCCATATAGCAG